AATTAAATAACTTAATTAAACATTAGGCTCATATTTAATGGGTCCATTTGTCCAAATCAAAGTCTACTAAAATTTTAGTGTTTACAAATATATATAGTTACAAAGTTTAAAATTTTTTAAAAGATAAAAGATAATGATGGAAATATAAAGAAAAGATGATTAGACTTTTCAAAGAGGACAATTAATTTGGGACATATAAAAATGAAATAATAGACTACTAATATGGGACGGAGGGAGTAGCATTTTGCCTTCGCCATATTCCTAGGCATGGCAATGGAATGGCCAATACTCTTACAACACTTTTCCAAAGTCATTTGCCTAAGAATGTTGCTCTTGCACATATTCCTTCTGATATTCTTCTTTTAATAGCTAAAAATTGTATAGTTTGATTTGTGCTGCTTGTTTTTGTTTACCATGATAAAAAAATAAAATAAAATAAAACAAAATAAAAAATAAAAAAATCATGTTATCTACCTTAATGTATCATCACCTAAGTATATGATACGTGAATCAACTAACTATATTTATTTAAATTGAATGTTATGTAAGGAACTACTTGCATTGAATAGAGTCTATGTTACTTTATGATGAAATTTTATTAATTTGTGACATTAGGGATTTTTTTTTTCCCTTGCAAAGAGAAGATAATATATATATATATATATATATATATATATATATATATATATTTGGAAAATGTTTCATAGCATTAGATTCTCCTACAATTATGGGAGATTTACAAAGAAGTTTTATTCTTCATTTTCTAAGAACATCTCAAATACACTATTTTTTAAATTCATTTTTTATGTTTCTATAAAACAAAAGGTAGCACTTCTTTGTAACTTTTGATTAAAATTTATATTTAATTGGAAACTAATTAAAATATGTGCTGCCCATATAATATTTGAAATTATGATTAATATTTTGAAATTCAAATGAATCAGATATGCGCTAATATTCAAGTGACACAAAATTGGTGATGATGGTAAGTGTTATCGGGCTTTTTACGATGTTGGGGTGCAAAGACGACTATCATGCTTGTTGGTAGGCGGAAGTACTTTATTGAAATGGTTTCAAGAAAAGGGCGCGCAGGTCTCACATAATGGAATGTGGCTATCGCCTGTACAAACTAGTCGAGAACTAGAGCCGTTCCCCTAATTTGCCAAGGCAGGCCAAAATTAATTAGCATGAAGCCTTGAGGTGAAGATCGTGTAGCCTGAGCCTTGCGAGGGCTGCCGCACGGGACATACTACTATGCATGAAACTTGAGGTCCGTGACAATATGAAAGATGGTGATATGAACACATGCTACAACAATAGATTTGAAAAATAGTCTTGTTATAATTGCTAAAGAAATTAATTAGAATAATAATTTAGAATCTGATAACCAAACACATCTGATAATAATGTCATTAATAATAATGATATTAGTTTTTATTCACATAAAATTCATTGAATTCGTCTGATCATCCGAGTCTCTATCATTATTCATGATTTTCAATGCGAGACGCGGTGCGTTTGGTTAATTGATTTCCTTACCTGGTAATTTTTTTTTTAAATTCATTACAAAAGCCACTGAAAATGTCTAAAAATTAATTATTAATTAAGCATGACGTGACATTGACCCAAAGAAAAAAAACACAGGAAAGGAGGGGACCACAATAGATGGATAAACCGTTTAAATTAATTACAAAAGCTACTGAAAATGTCTAAAAATTAATTATTAATTAAGCATGACGTGACATTGACCCAAAGAAAAAAACACAGGAAAGGAGGGGACCACTATAGATGGATAAACCGTCCAGAATGGGAAGGAGGTTCGCACTAATAAAAAAAATAAAAAAATAAAAAAAAAACAAAGGATCCTGAAGGTCACATGCAATAATTTCTCCACATGTAGAGAGACCCACCATTTAACCATCACTGCGATTCTGTGTTTACAGTATCTATTACTCATCGATTGAGCTGTACCCTCTGTCTGACTCCGAGTGTCTCCAACCCACCATTAATACCTAAAACCTCATTTCAGTACATGTGAACATATATTAATGCCGTCACTTGTTTACCTCACTCAAAACAGCTGTGCACATGTGTTGTACTGAATTTAATGGCAGATGATTGTCCGCTATCGGATGTTGTAGTAATAAATTTTACGAGTAAGAATTGTGTACCCTTTCGGTTAAATAATATTTAGTTCAGTGTTTTAAAAAAAAAAAAAAAAAAAATTAAAAAAAAAATACTTGTTTTACGGATGGATGTGTCACATAAATTAAAAAGTATAGAGAATTTCTCTCAATTTATAGTATTTTTCAATAAACCTCTTGCCTATTTTTTTTACTAAAGAATTCCTTCGACTTGTAATCTTTTTTCAATAATTCTCCTTGTCTAATGTTTTATAAAAGAATCCCCTCAACTATATGAAGGGAGTAAAAATATTGATATTTGGACCAAAATATTCTTTTATTTAAAACTTAATTCTCCCGAATTTCAAAAATTCATATTTCACCAATCGTACATTTAAAAATTGTAAATAATATATGTACGAAAAACTTATGAAATAAAGATTCCAGAAATATAAATTTGTGTAACATACCTTCATAATCAAAGAAAAATAAATAGTTTAAAAATTTACTCCAACAAATTTATTTATTTATAAAAAATAAAATACCCGAGATATTACTCATCAATTAACCAGTACCCTCTGTCTGAGTGTCTCCAATCTACCATTAATACCTCAAACCTCATTTCAGCACATGTGAACATATATTAATGTCGTCACTTGTCAACCTCACTCAAAACAGCTGTGCCACAAGTGCTGTACTGAATTTAATGGCCCATGATTGTAGACTCTGGAATGTTGTAGTAATAAATTTTACGCGTAGGAATTGTGTACCTTTGAATGCTGTACTAGAGAGAATTCGGTTACATTCGTATTTAGTTCAAATTTTTTAAAAGAAATTTTTTTTAAAAAAAAAATTTGTTTTTTTATTTTTTTATTTTTATGGATGGATATGATAAATCACATAAATTAAATAAATTTGGACAGAAATGAACCTCAAATGTATTCCTTTCAAAAATTGTCAAGTTGATAAAAAACCCAATCCATGTCTTCTAGTAGCAACTTGATAGGCCCCACTCATTTAAATAATTGAAAGAAAATAAATAATAATTGGAGAAAAATGGCCATGGGATGTCGGCCCAACTCTTCAATGTTGTTATTTTCATATTAATATTAGGTTGAAGTGCATTAAATTTTTCTTTCTATTTGTGTTTTGCACTGAACTAGATTTAGCCCATTGTTTGAAGGTTTTGACTTTAGGATGGGCTGAATTTTGTCGACTCAGAGCTGGCCTAATATAGTGTTCTCAAGAACCAGCTCAAACTCAAAAGACTTTACTTGCTACAAAAATAAATCAAAGCATTAAAAAATTATATTGCTTAATCATACCTTATTTAACTTTAATCTCTGAATCTCATAACATAATACGGACACACCTTTTCGAAGTTTGATATTCTACCAACTAGGTTATTGAATAATGCCCCAATCTCAGAACATCTCAAGCACTGAATAATTATTGTAATCTTAAAAACCTTAATTAAATATCATAAACCTGGTTGTAAATAAGAAATTATGTTGGAAAACAAATATAACTTAAAACTTATGCATTTGAGCTTACTTTCTTTTTCTTTTTCTTTTCCTCTTAGCTTACTTTCAAAGTAAGAATTTATGTGAGAAATGACAATTATAAGATGCATTGAAGGATATTGCAACAAATCTTTATATATAACATGCTCAAGTATATAAATATTAAAGTTATACCCTCTTTAGTAACTTAGTTTTTTTTAAGTAAATGGTAATTCACACCAAAAGTCTCAAGTTCAAAATATTTAAAAGAGTAGTGCTACTCGGGCTGAAGAATTGGGTAGAATTCTTAGAACGAATACTCTTAATTAGTCGTTTATGCAAGATACAAATAAATGAAGGATCTCACTTTTTTATATTTTGCATACATGACTAATTAAAAGCATTCGGTCAAGGAATTCACTAAAACTCCTCGGCTTTAAACAACATTTTCCTAATTAAAATTGAAACAAACATTGGTTAAAAAGGGGCATGTTAAATGACATATATATCTAGAAAAATGACACATCATCCGAATTCAAAACATGCCGACGAAGTTTTGTGTGAGTCCAACCGCATGACGTGGAAGTGGGGTGTGGGTCCCATGCATGATGCATGTTTCAAATTCGGAGAATGTATCAACGCTCATATATCTCTGACATAAATCAAAAGACTTTTGACACCACAAATATTTAGAGTGTATAAATCGAGCATTTCGACTGATTTATATAAGTAAGGACTAACATCATATGATGGCACTAAAATTCCTAACGTTGTGCTTACATCAACTCTTACTCACATAAAACTAGTCGGATTCTCAATCATTGCTCTATAAATTAACATTCTTTGGAAAATTGCAATTTCATTAATCCAAACCAAAAAAAAAAAAAAAAAAAAAAAAGAAAAAATTTCAGGTTCACAAACACCACTGCAGTTTGGGAAGGGTATCATAGAAGGTTGTCCTCTTGTCTCCCCTCTGCTTTTCTCAGCTCATGGAGAAGAAGCTTGCAAACAGTGCATAAAGGCTGACTCAATTTCCTTATTTATTTTTTTTTAATTTTTTTATCAATTTTAAATTTTTGTACCATGGCCGTATATTTTAAGGTTTACGATGTCGTGGTTAAATCTCCTTCTAAATCTCAACACCTGACCGATCTTAGAAAATCATTTGACCGTATGAGGGCACACGGTTTGAAGATGAATCCGTTGACGTGTGCCTTTAGAGTTACATTGCTGGAAATATTTTGGGGTTCTTGGTGCATCAGAGAGGGATCGAAATTGACAACAAGGCTAGGGCCGTTATAGAGGCTCATCCACCAAAGAATAAGGAGGAGCTTCTCAACGACTGCTCGGCAAATCAAAAGTTAGACCAGTGATCTTAACAATGGAAAAGCCTTAGAATTCAATTCAATGACATAAATTTCTCAACCAAAGTCTACTTACATTATTGTTACGCAGTAAACTTTTTACACACACTTTTCTGCATGTGGTAGACCAGAAAAAAAGAAAGGATTCATGTAATCAACACCAAGCCAAAATTAAGTAACTCTATACACCCAAGACTTGAGCTATTTAAAGATCTATAACCCCAGTATATGTAAAAGATGATGTGTGACCATGATACGCTAGCAACGTTAAAGCTCCTGACATTTGCAGAGGCAGGTCTCCCACTCAAGAATATAGTCTCAAGCGTGTCGTTATGGGCTTCCGGCAAAGAGGGCAAGATGAAATTGTCACACTACATTCCTTGCAAGTCTTAAACAAGAAAGATTCAAAGAGTTAGGATGAACATTTTTCTCAGTAAATCATAAATATATGAATGAGAGGCAATCTCATCATACAGAATCTCAAACAAACAGAGATTACAGAGCAGTTAAGACCTATATGCATAGTTGTTAAAGGCTCAAGGCACACTAAAACACTAAGGCCTCTTGGAGTCTGAGGCGCAAGGCGAGGCTCGCGCCCGACTGAAGTGAGGTGCAAGTTGAGAAAAAACATAAAAAAAATGGCACAAGAGAAAATAACAAGCATTTTAACAGTTAACATAACATGCATTTTCATTTTTCATAGTAAAAAAAAAAAAAAGAAAAAAAGAAAAAATAACATGCATTGTACTAATTAACATGGAATAATTATTAAAGCAGTAAGCAGTAGAGCACAAAGCAAAGCAGGGGAAAAAAAAAAAAAACAGAATAAGAAGCAACAGAGAGAAGTGAGAATAGGAGGAAAAAGACAGAAGAAGAAGAGACGGAGAAAGAGAAGTGAAAAGAAGCAACAGTAGAAGTCTAAAAGAAGAACAAAGAAAAAATATGGCAGGGTCCACCACTTAACATATGCAGAAGAAGAGAAAATAAGAAGCAGCGTGTTTGTGTCTACTCTTTTGTCTTCATATAACTTATAATAAGTGGTAGGATCCACCACTTAAAATATGCAGCCGAGAAAAATAAAGAAACAGCAGCATTGAAAAAAAAAAACAAAAAGAAGAAGCAGCAGAGTCCTATTCTTTTGTTTGCTTTACCTTTTTGGCTTTTATATAACTTATAATAAGTGGTAGGCTCCACCACTTAACATACGCATACCAATTATATGAAAAGTCAAACCAACACAACTCTTTAAATAACATAAAAACAAAGTACTTCAAACAGGTGCGCCCTACATGCGCCTTGGGCCTATCGCCTTTAGCAAAGAGGCGCGTGCCTATGCAAAGAGGCTCACCTGGGTACATGTAAGGCGCCAAAGCTGCGCCTTGATGCACCCGGCGCCCGAGGCGCGCGCCCGGAACGCCTTTGACAACTATGCCTATATGTTACACACACAAAATCAATCCCAATCCACGTTCAGGCTCCATTTGTTTCGATGGAAAATATTTTTTATTTCTATTTTTGGGTATTTAGCAAAGGTGTTGGTCAAGATTGAGGTCGAGTCCATTGGGTGAGGCGTGTAACTTGCCGAAAATTGATGGGTAAGTTTTTTTTGTTAGGTTTTAATATATTTTTTCTTCATAAAATATTTACGACAACCAAACACCAATATATATATATATATATATATATCTCCATTGGGTGAGGCGTGTAACTTGCCGAAAATTGATGGGTAAGTTTTTTTTGTTAGGTTTTAATATATTTTTTCTTCATAAAATATTTATGACAACCAAACACCAATATATATTTCTGAAACATATTTTACATCCAAACAAAGGGAGCCTGAATATCAATGGAAGCCTTTTTCGTCTAGTTTAAACTGCAAAGCATTTAATCACACTCCACAATGGCTTTCCAATCCAATGGGAATCCAACAGCTGATTCAAATAAAGCTTAAACCAATAAAGCTTAAACCAAAATCACCAGAAAGCAGAGACTTACCAAGATAATAAAGATGAGGGATGGTAGAAAGTCTCGAAGAAGGCAAGGCTATAGCGGCTTAACACTCCCTTTGATATTAGTGACAAAGGAGAATCATTTGTAGTAAATGAGGAAATAACTACTCCCTCTGCTGTGGTGACAAGGGAGAGACATCCATAATTGCTAAATAAATGGTCACTAATGCCCCCCAGATAACTACTCGAATGATCCGATCAAAAGTCCTAAGCTAAGCACAGGTAAGGACACTCGCACTGGCTTTTACTCTTCTTATAGATTTTAGCCATGGGATGAAGAAGATCCAACTGCCAGATGTTAACCCTATTTGTTATGACAAACACAACGAACCCAAGATAAAACCAAGAATCACGACAAAAAAAGTAAGCACACCACAAAAAGAACACGAAGATTTATACATGGTTGAGCAACAACCTACATCCACGGTTGCGATCCAGCCAAAGTCTTCACTATGTGTAAAATCGGAGATTACAAATTTTCAGCCTCTCCCTCTGTTTCTGTACGAATTTCAAAGCCTCTCTCTTCTACCACTCCAAACCCTAAGCACCCTTATATATCGGGCTACAAGAGACTAATTAGGGTCCACGACCCATGATTAAAAAACCGGGTCAAAAATATTTCTCATCGGGTCATAAGCGGGTCACAATGCGACCCGACACCAAATTTGGGCCACAACATCACACCATTAACAAAAAAGTGGTGGATTCGATGGAATTGACAAGGACAAAAAGGCTAAAGACAATGCTAAGATAAGATTTGTAGTTTAGTGGAGTCAACTTTACCCCCCGACTGAGGTAATGTTTAGTTCTCTCTAGTCAGCTCATTAAATATTAGAGGGTTAAATAGTCTAAAAAATGTGAGGTTAAGCAAATCATTAGGAGATGAATCTTCCTTTGATTTGGTTGAGACTATGTTCAGAAGAATAAACAAGAATAAAATCATAAATGGGTTAACCAACGCCTGGACCTTATTCACAATTATGATTGGTCCACCTTGGATAAGATTAGGGTCTGCTGGGGCTTGCCAGTTAAAACTCTTAGTTAATCAGAGCAGATTATTTACTAGAAAATTGCTCTGGTGGATGATCCCAATATTAAGTTCAGCTGTAATTTTGTTCGAGGAGCATTCCTTAGTCTCTGGAAGAGAACTTCGGAGGAACCTTACTCTGTTTGTTAGTCCCAATGGTTATCCCTGGTTACTGCTTGGTGATTTCAACAGTCAGATTTAGAAATGAGAGACTAAGCAGATCTAATGAATGGCATAATCACACGGAGTGTTGACCTTGAATCCAAGGATTTTGATGATCATAATTCATTATTAGTGTTCTATGTGTACTAATGTTTACCTTGAGCAAATTACAGATTAAAAGCATTCATCAACACAAGTCGTTACATATTAAAGCTCAAAGGAAAGAGCATCATCAAGACATATCAAAAAGGACTCAAGATTCAAAGAAATTATCAAGATCTCATCAATGGGGTAGCTAGGATGGTGAGTTGTTTTAGGAAACTTTGTTAAAGTTTGTATGAACATTTTGAAGCTCATTTCATAATCATGCATAAACAACTCATTCATAATATCTAAGGATCAAAGGACCAAGCTTAACACAGCATCAAAACAGGTTCCTGAAACATAAACCAATTCGGTCGACCAAATTGAAGGGGCATATTAAATCAGTCGACCGATATAAGAAGAGAGCTTGGATCAAAACCTCTATACTATTTCGGTCTACCGAATCTCAGGACCTTTATTTTTCGGTCTATCGAACCTAGCATTTGAAAGACTCTCACTTGAGTTTCACGCGACTGAAACTAGAGAGGCAAATAAATCAGCAGAGCCGATTCTCACAGAGAGTTTAGAACAAAGGAGAAAGGAGTTTCGGTCGACCGAAACAAAGAGAGCTTTTTCATCGGTCTACCGAACCAAGGCTAATGGCCATCCTTTAACCAAATCGGTCGACCGAACCTTAAGGGTGTTTTATTTCGGACGACCGAACCTGCGAAAATTCAAATTTCAAATGGCCTGTTTTTCTCGAAGTGTGTGTCCAATAGCTAGATTTCATATCAAACTCATCTGAAACTTTATATGAGTTGAGGTCTTCATAAAAAAGTTGTTTCATTCATTGAGAAAGATATTCTTGCAATCATAAAGCCTTTCATTATCATATACACACTTTATATCATAAAAGAGTATTGAGCTTCAATTTATTCATACATACTCTAGAGTGAGTTGAATCTTGTACTTTAGATCTAAGAGAGATCACTTTGTACTTCATCAATCTTGTTCAAATTTTGTAAGGGCTGGTGTGGCCAAAGAAAGACTAAGAAAAGGTGTTTCTCTTAGCACTTAGAAGTAAGGAAGAGCTTCTTATAAAAGGTTTGCTCTTCACCTGCAAGGAGAAGCTATAGTGAATTGGGAAGTCTCAAGAGGGGTCTTGAGCCGAGGAGTAAGAGTTTCCGAACCTCGCTAAAATCGCTGAGTATATGTTTGCAATCTCTATCTCTATCTCTTACATTTATTGCTATATATTTTGTTTGATAAATATTATCCTTTGAAGTTTAAAATTCAGATTATTTTCTTCAATATTTATCAAGGAAGTTAAGCTTTGTTCTAGTTGATTAATTAAAACCCAAAATTGACCTTAGTTTTGCTTAGACTCTATTAACAACCCCCCCCCCCCCCCCCCTCCCTCTCGAGTCTATATCTGGGCAACAATTGGTATCAGAGCTAGAACTTTATTGAAAAAGCTTAAGTGTATTAGAGAACGATCATGACAAACTTAAATGGTCATATCCATCAAGAAGGCCAATCTAATACTAGACCTCCTTGGTTCGATGGAACAAATTACGGCTATTGGAAAAATAGAATGATAGGCTTTCTTCAATCCGTAGACTATCAAATTTGGCTGGTTATAGTTAATGGACCTTTTGTTCCAATGAAAATTGTTGACACAAGAAGAATCCCTAAAACTGAAGCTGAATGGGACACCGAGGATTATAAACTTATTCTTTAAATGCTAAAGCTAAAGTCAATCTAAATTGTGCTATAAGTCCTAGTGAATATAATAAAGTATGTACTTGCACCACAGCTAAAGAAATCTGGGATAAACTTCAGGTTATTTATGAAGGAACTTCACAGGTCAAGGAATCCAAAATTGACATTCTTATGCATCAATATGAATTGTTTCGTATGAATGAAAATGAGTCTATTAGTGCAATGTTTGTGAGATTTACTGACATTATTAATGGGTTGAAACATCTTGGCAGAACTATGACCAACTCTGATCTTGCAAGGAAAATTCTAAGAAGCTTACCCGAAAAATGGGATGCAAAAGCAACGGCAATTAAGGAAGCTCACAATCTCAACACACTTGAGTTA